TACCAGCTAACATCGTCAATACCAGCTAACATCGTCAATACCAGCTAACATCATCAATACCAGCTAACATCGTCAATACCAGCTAACATCATCAATACCAGCTAACATCATCAATACCAGCTAACATCATCAACACCAGCTAACATCATCAATACCAGCTAACATCGTCAACACCAGCTAACATCATCAATACCAGCTAACATCATCAATACCAGCTAACATCATCAATACCAACTAACATCATCAATACCAGCTAACATCATCAATACCAGCTAACATCGTCAATACCAGCTAACATCATCAATACCAGCTAACATCATCAATACCAGCTAACATCATCAATACCAGCTAACATCATCAATATCAGCTAACATCATCAATACCAACTAACATCATCAATACCAGCTAACATCATCAATACCAGCTAACATCATCAATACCAGCTAACATCGTCAATACCAGCTAACATCATCAATACCAGCTAACATCATCAATACCAGCTAACATCGTCAATACCAGCTAACATCATCAATACCAGCTAACATCGTCAACACCAGCTAACATCATCAATACCAGCTAACATAATCAATACCAGCTAACATCATCAATACCAGCTAACATCGTCAATACCAGCTAACATCATCAATACCAGCTAACATCATCAATACCAGCTAACATCGTCAATACCAGCTAACATCATCAATACCAGCTAACATCATCAATACCAGCTAACATCGTCAATACCAGCTAACATAATCAATACCAGCTAACATCGTCAATACCAGCTAACATCATCAATACCAGCTAACATCGTCAATACCAGCTAACATCATCAATACCAACTAACATCATCAATACCAGCTAACATCATCAATACCAGCTAACATCATCAATACCAGCTAACATAATCAATACCAGCTAACATAATACCAGCTAACATCGTCAATACCAGCTAACATCATCAATACCAGCTAACATCGTCAATACCAGCTAACATAATCAATACCAGCTAACATCGTCAATACCAGCTAACATCATCAATACCAGCTAACATCGTCAATACCAGCTAACATCATCAATACCAACTAACATCATCAATACCAGCTAACATCATCAATACCAGCTAACATCATCAATACCAGCTAACATAATCAATACCAGCTAACATCATCAATACCAGCTAACATAATCAATACCAGCTAACATAATCAATACCAGCTAACATCATCAATACCAGCTAACATCATCAATACCAGCTAAAATCATCAATACCAGCTAACATCAATACCAGCTAACATCAATACCAGCTAACATAATCAATACCAGCTAGCATCGTCAATACCAGCTAACATCATCAATACCAGCTAACATCGTCAATACCAGCTAACATCGTCAATACCAACTAACATCATCAATACCAGCTAACATCGTCAATACCAGCTAACATCATCAATACCAGCTAACATCATCAATACCAGCTAACATCATCAATACCAGCTAACATCATCAATACCAGCTAACATAATCAATACCAGCTAACATCATCAATACCAGCTAACATAATCAATACCAGCTAACATAATCAATACCAGCTAACATCATCAATACCAGCTAACATCATCAATACCAGCTAACATCGTCAATACCAGCTAACATCATCAATACTAGCTAACATCGTCAATACCAGCTAACATCGTCAATACCAGCTAACATCATCAATACCAGCTAACATCATCAATACCAGCTAACATCGTCAATACCAGCTAACATCATCAATACCAGCTAACATCGTCAATACCAGCTAACATAATCAATACCAGCTAACATCATCAATACCAGCTAACATAATCAATACCAGCTAACATAATCAATACTAGCTAACATCATCAATACCAGCTAACATCATCAATACCAGCTAACATCGTCAATACCAGCTAACATCATCAATACTAGCTAACATCGTCAATACCAGCTAACATCGTCAATACCAGCTAACATCATCAATACCAGCTAACATCATCAATACCAGCTAACATCGTCAATACCAGCTAACATCATCAATACCAGCTAACATCGTCAATACCAGCTAACATCATCAATACCAGCTAACATCATCAATACCAGCTAACATCGTCAATACCAGCTAACATCATCAATACCAGCTAACATCATCAATACCAGCTAACATCGTCAATACCAGCTAACATCATCAATACTAGCTAACATCGTCAATACCAGCTAACATCGTCAATACCAGCTAACATCATCAATACCAGCTAACATCATCAATACCAGCTAACATCGTCAATACCAGCTAACATCATCAATACCAGCTAACATCGTCAATACCAGCTAACATAATACCAGCTAACATCGTCAATACCAGCTAACATCGTCAATACCAGCTAACATCGTCAATACCAGCTAACATCATCAATACCAGCTAACATCATCAATACCAGCTAACATCATCAAAGATAAGCCGTTCCAGCCAGGGGATGGGTGACAGGGGGGGTGACATTCTGCGTGTGAGTGTACGACACTCGGTCTGGCGGACTCCGTGAAACTGCATCGTCAGAGTGTGTCGCCAACCGGTGGCGTCTTAAGTTCAACAGCCTGACTCTCCAAATCATTCTTGAAATTAACATTTGTTTAATGTCGCCCCGGCCTGAGATCCTGGCTCCGCCCCTGGTTCCGGCCATCGCATTAGGGGTGAGTTAATTAAACGTTTGACCAAATATAACGGGCAAATTTTTAAGTTGATCATTTTGCATGGCCCGCGAATGATGTTATATAAATATCCAAATGGCCCTTGGCAGGAAAAAAAGGTTCCCCACCCCTACCCTAGCACTCTGGTTGACCCTGGAAGACACGTGACCAGTAAGCTCTGCACAGAGGGGCCCTAGCTGGGGGCTAGGGGGTGGTCACGTGTCAGGGTGACATCCTACGGGAAGGGTCGACTAACGACAGAGAGGTTTCTCGAAGGTGGTCGTGGCCAACGGCGGGGCCAGCCAAGACCCGGGAGGATATAGCCCGGGGTTCCCCACAGAGACCGGGGGCTTCCAGCGTTGCTGTTGTCGTCTGAAGATCTGCGATCTACGTCCGAGAAGAAGCCGCCAACGAGTTGACGAGGACCCAAGCCAGGGTCCTGTCCGTTGTAGCTACTCCCGGTAACTAGCGTAGTTAGCCTGGTGGTCCACCATCACCACCACCACAGGTTATCTGGTAAAGTGGCAGTAACCCCTTTGTGTTAATGCGTTGGTGTTAATAAATGTGTTGCCTCCAAAGAATACGTCTGCGACTCAGTTGAATCCACTACAAATGCAACGAAAGTATCATCACTACTGCAGCACGCTGGTCGATGTGGGTTGGAGAAGGGCAGGTGCTTGCTGTCCACCGGTTCAGATTTCGCTCGCCACTGACGTTGACCCCCCGTGGGTGAGAGAGTCACGCAGAGGTCAATGGAGTTTATAGCGCAGTGCGCTAACCACCGCCCCACCGCTCCACATCCGCAATAGTAAATGTTTAGCCCTTATACTATAATTTTTTTTTTATTTTTATCAGATAAGGGCCACTGGGCTCTACGTGGCTCTTTTTCAGACGCGACCTGGCCACAAATGATAGCTCAATCAAGTGGCTTGCATCACGTGGAAAATTATAGCAGCCAAATACTCTGAACGCACGTCGATTATAAATGTGGAGGGAAAAACTATAGGACAAGGAGAGACACTGTAAACTCCAAATATACAGCAGCAGCAGCAGGCGTCAAGAGTCGGGATAGAACCCAAGACCTCCTGTGTACCAGGCGAGGTAGTTAACATCTCCCTAGCCACCATGCTGACGATGATGAGAGAGAGACACCGCAAACTCCAAATATACAGCAGCAGCAGGCGTCAAGAGTCGGGATAGAACCCAAGACCTCCTGTGTACCAGGCGAGGTAGTTAACATCTCCCTAGCCACCATGCTGACGATGATGAGAGAGAGAGACACCGCAAACTCCAAATATACAGCAGCAGCAGGCATCAGGGTCGGGATAGAACCCACGAACCTCCTGTGTACCGGGCGAGGTAGTCAACATCTCCTAGCCACCGTGGCACCTTAATGGTTCTCATTTAAGCTCCCGACACTCACGGAAAGGCACGATTGTCATTGGTAATCAAATCTTTATTGACCTGTGAGTGTCTGCGTATGTGCCGGGACACACAAACATAGCGAGGAGGGAGGTGCAAGTGCTCCCCCGCCACCGGTCCACACCAAACACGGAGTCCTGCCAGCGTCGCCAACACCACCCACCACGGGCACCGACCTAGGAATCCGAAGATGACGACGATCAAAGGCGAAGATGGCGATGCTTGTGACGGTGGCTGTGGTGGACGATGACGGGGGATTTAGTTTTCTACGATCGCGGCGATGCTGATGGCGGCTACAATGATGTTGTCGATGATGTTGTCGACGATGACGACGATGATGACGATGATGACGATGATGATGACGATGATGACGACGATGATGACGATGATGACGACGATGATGACGATGATGATGACGACGATGACCACTCATCCGGTTCAGACCGGGTCTACTGGGAAGCTGCACGGGACGTGTGTATGCGCGACTGACGGAGAAAACCGCCGACAATGAAGCCACTGCCAGCACTTTCCAGTTTCTCATTGGGCCTCCGTGTGAGTCTGTGGGTTTCTGCGGGTGTCTGTGCGCGTCTGTGGGAGTGTGTGGGTGTCTGTGGGTGTCTGTTGGTGTCTATGGGTGTCTGTGTGAGTTTGTGGGTGTCTGTGTGAGTTTGTGGGTGTCTGTGGGTGTCTGTGCGAGTCTGTGGGAGTCTGTGGGTGTCTGTCGGTGTCTATGGGTGTCTGTGTGAGTTTGTGGGTCTCTGTGGGTGTTTGTGGGTGTCTGTGGGTGTCTGTGGGTGTCTGTGGGTGTCTGTCGGTGTCTATGGGTGTCTGTGTGAGTTTGTGGGTGTCTGTGGGTGTCTGTGCGAGTCTGTGGGTGTCTGTGTGAGTTTGTGGGTGTCTGTGGGTGTCTGTGGGTGTCTGTGGGTGTCTGCGAGTCTGCGGGTATCCGTGCGAGCCCGTGGGTGTCTCTGTTACCCCCGAAATCTCTGACCGAAGAGGCCCACTGCCAACGCAGCAACAGCAACAAATTATCAAGGGTGAGCGGGGCGGCAAAAGTGACGAGCGTCATTTGGTGCACCACCCCGGCAACGGCAAAAGCGGCGCTCACGGCAACCAAGCGCTCGGGGCACGCTGCCTCTCTCTTTACTTCGTCTCCAGAAGTGCGGTCATCTCCGGCACAACCTAAACACAACAACAACAACAGCCGCTGTTTACCATTCACCTGCACAGAGACAAAGATCCAGCACCCCCCCCAGCCCCCCCCCCCCCCCCCCCCCCCCCCCCCGTATAGTCTCGAACAGAGTAGCACCCGTGAACGGCACACGAGGTGGCACGGATGTCCAGCACCACGCCCGGCCGCCTTTGTCTCCCCCGAGTGGGAAAACATCGCCACGAGCTGCTCACTTGATGCGGAGTCTAACTATAGCGGAGGGGGGGGCCCCCCCCCCCCCGAGGACCGGCTCCCGTAATCGCCGCTCGTCTTGGCCGTGAGTGGGTATCGATTTTGGGTCGCCGGTTTCGGAGTGCAGCGCACTAATCGCTCCCCGGCATCTAAACCCACGAGGCAGGTTCCCTCGTTCACATTACGGACACAAAACCGCTTTGCTTGTTTCACCGATGGATCTCTGTGCGAGTTTATGCATCTCTACCATAGCCTATGGCTTTGTGTGCGAGTCTACATGTGTACGTGAGTGCATGTGTTGCAATGTAAATCTATACTGTTTGTCTCTGTGTGAGTCTGTGGGTGTCTGTGTGAGTTTGTGGGTCTCTATGAAAAAGCATGGATCTCTACGTGTGTCTATGGATCTCTATGTGAGTCCATGGATGTCAATGTGAGTCTATGGATGCCTATCTGTGTCTGGATCTCTATGTGAGTCTATGGATCTCTACGTGTGTCTATGGATCTCTATGTGTGTCTATGGATCGCTACGTGTGTCTATGGATCTCTATCTGAGTCTGGATCTCTACGTGTGTCTATGGATCTCTACGTGTGTCTATTGATCTCTATGTGTGTCTATGGATCTCTACGTGTGTCTATGGATCTCTATGTGTGTCTATGGATCTCTATGTGTGTCTATGGATCTCTACGTGTGTCTATGGATCTCTATCTGAGTCTGGATCTCTATGTGAGTCTATGGATCTCGATGTGTGTCTATGGATCTCTACGTGTGTCTATGGATCTCTATGTGTGTCTATGGATCTCTATGTGTGTCTATGGATCTCTACGTGTGTCTATGGATCTCTATGTATGTCTATGGATCTCTATGTGTGTCTATGGATCTCTATGTGTGTCTATGGATCTCTACATGTGTCTATGGATCTCTATGCGTGTCTATGGATCTCTATGTGTGTCTATGGATCTCTACGTGTGTCTGGATCTCAACGTGTGTCTATGGATCTCTGTGTTTGTCTATGGATCTCTATGTGTGTCTATGGATCTCTATGTGTGTCTATGGATCTCTACGTGTGTCTATGGATCTCTATGTGTGTCTATGGATCTCTATGTGTGTCTATGGATCTCTACGTGTGTCTATGGATCTCTACGTGTGTCTATGGATCTCTATGTGTGTCTATGGATCTCTACGTGTGTCTATGGATCTCTATGTGTGTCTATGGATGTCTACGTGTGTCTATGGATCTCTACGTGTGTCTATGGATCTCTGTGTGTGTCTATGGATCTCTGTGTGTGTCTATGGATCTCGATGTGTGTCTATGGATCTCTACATGTGTCTATGGATCTCTGTGTGTGCCTATGGATCTCAACGTGTTTATGGATCTCTATGTGTGTCTATGGATCTCTATGTGTGTCTATGGATCTCTACGTGTGTCTAAGGATGTCTATGTGTGTCTATGGATGTCTACGTGTGTCTATGGATCTCTACATGTGTCTATGGATCTCTATGTGTGTCTATGGATCTCTATGTGTGTCTATGGATCTCTACGTGTGTCTGTGGATCTCTATGTGTGTCTATGGATCTCTACGTGTGTCTATGGATCTCTGTGTGTGCCTATGGATCTCAACGTGTCTATGGATCTCTATGTGTGTCTATGGATCTCTATGTGTGTCTATGGCTCTCTACGTGTATCTAAGGATCTCTATGTGTGTCTATGGATGTCTACGTGTGTCTATGGATCTCTATCTGAGTCTGGATCTCTACGTGTGTCTATGGATCTCTGTGTGTGTCTATGGATCTCTGCGTGTGTCTATGGATCTCTGCGTGTGTCTATGGATCTCTATGTGTGTCTATGGATCTCTACGTGTGTCTATGGATCTCTATCTGAGTCTATGGATCTCTATGTGTGTCTATGGATCTCTATGTGTGTCTATGGATCTCTATGTGTGTCTATGGATCTCTACGTGTGTCTATGGATCTCTATGTGTGTCTATGGATCTCTGTGTCTATGGATCTCTGTGTGTGTCTATGGATCTCTACGTGTGTCTATGGATCTCTACGTGTGTCTATGGATCTCTATGTGTGTCTATGGATCTCTATCTGAGTCTATGGATCTCTATGGGTGTCTATGGATCTCTACGTGTGTCTATGGATCTCTACGTGTGTCTATGGATCTCTATGTGTGTCTATGGATCTCTATCTGAGTCTATGGATCTCTATGGGTGTCTATGGATCTCTACGTGTGTCTATGGGTCTCTATGAGTGTCTATGGATCTCTATGTGTGTCTATGGATCTCTACGTGTGTCTATGGATCTCTATGTGTGTCTATGGATCTCTGTGTGTGTCTATGGATCTCTGTGTGTCTATGGATCTCTATGTGTGTCTATGGATCTCTGTGTGTGTCTATGGATCTCTACGTGTGTCTATGAATCTCTATGTGTGTCTATGGATCTCTATGTGTGTCTATGGATCTCTATGTGTGTCTATGGATCTCTATGTGTGTCTATGGATCTCTATGTGTGTCTATGGATCTCTATGTGTGTCTATGGATCTCTATGTGTGTCTATGGATCTCTACGTGTGTCTATGGATCTCTACGTGTGTCCATGGATCTCTATGTGTGTCTATGGATCTCTACATGTCTATGGATCTCTATGTGTGTCTATGGATCTCTACGTGTGTCTATGTATCTCTACGTGTCTATGAATCTCTATGTGTGTCTATGGATCTCTATGTGTGTCTATGGATCTCTATGTGTGTCTATGGATCTCTACGTGTGTCTATGGATCTCTACGTGTGTCCATGGATCTCTATGTGTGTCTATGGATCTCTACATGTCTATGGATCTCTATGTGTGTCTATGGATCTCTACGTGTGTCTATGTATCTCTACGTGTCTATGAATCTCTACGTGTGTCTATGGCTATGGATCTCTACGTGTGTCTATGGATCTCTATGTGTGTCTATGGATCTCTGTGTCTATGGATCTCTGTGTGTCTATGGATCTCTGTGTGTGTCTATGGATCTCTACGTGTGTCTATGGATCTCTACGTGTGTCCATGGATGTCTACGTGTGTCTATGGATCTCTATGTGTGTCTATGGATCTCTGTGTGTGTCTATGGATCTCTATGTGTGTCTATGGATCTCTACGTGTGTCTATGGATCTCTACGTGTGTCTATGGATCTCTGTGTGTGTCTATGGATCTCTATGTGTGTCTATGTATCTCTACGTGTGTCTATGGATCTCTACGTGTGTCTATGGATCTCTACGTGTGTCTATGGATCTCTGTGTGTGTCTATGGATCTCTATGTGTGTCTATGGATCTCTATGTGTGTCTATGGATCTCTGTGTGTGTCTATGGATCTCTATGTGTGTCTATGGATCTCTATGTGTGTCTATGGATCTCTACGTGTCTATGGATCTCTACGTGTGTCTATGGATCTCTATGTGTGTCTATGGATCTCTATGTGTGTCTATGGATCTCTACGTGTGTCTATGGATCTCTATGTGTGTCTATGGATCTCTATCTGAGTCTATGGATCTCTATGGGTGTCTATGGATCTCTACGTGTGTCTATGGGTCTCTATGAGTGTCTATGGATCTCTATGTGTGTCTATGGATCTCTACGTGTGTCCATGGATGTCTACGTGTGTCTATGGATCTCTATGTGTGTCTATGGTTCTCTACGTGTGTCTATGGATCTCTACGTGTGTCTATGGATCTCTGTGTGTGTCTATGGATCTCTGTGTGTGTCTATGGATCTCTGTGTGTGTCTATGGATCTCTATGTGTGTCTATGGATCTCTACGTGTGTCTATGGATCTCTACGTGTGTCTATGGATCTCTGTGTGTGTCTATGGATCTCTATGTGTGTCTATGTATCTCTACGTGTGTCTATGGATCTCTACGTGTGTCTATGGATCTCTACGTGTGTCTATGGATCTCTGTGTGTGTCTATGGATCTCTATGTGTGTCTATGGATCTCTATGTGTGTCTATGGATCTCTGTGTGTGTCTATGGATCTCTATGTGTGTCTATGGATCTCTATGTGTGTCTATGGATCTCTACGTGTCTATGGATCTCTACGTGTGTCTATGGATCTCTATGTGTGTCTATGGATCTCTATGTGTGTCTATGGATCTCTACGTGTGTCTATGGATCTCTATGTGTGTCTATGGATCTCTATCTGAGTCTATGGATCTCTATGGGTGTCTATGGATCTCTACGTGTGTCTATGGGTCTCTATGAGTGTCTATGGATCTCTATGTGTGTCTATGGATCTCTACGTGTGTCCATGGATGTCTACGTGTGTCTATGGATCTCTATGTGTGTCTATGGTTCTCTACGTGTGTCTATGGATCTCTACGTGTGTCTATGGATCTCTGTGTGTGTCTATGGATCTCTGTGTGTGTCTATGGATCTCTGTGTGTGTCTATGGATCTCTACGTGTCTATGGATCTCTATGTGTGTCTATGGATCTCTGTGTGTGTCTATGGATCTCTGTGTGTGTCTATGGATCTCTGTGTGTGTCTATGGATCTCTACGTGTCTATGGATCTCTATGTGTGTCTATGGATCTCTGTGTGTGTCTATGGATCTCTACGTGTCTATGGATCTCTATGTGTGTCTATGGATCTCTACGTGTGTCCATGGATGTCTACGTGTGTCTATGGATCTCTATCTGAGTCTATGGATCTCTACGTGTGTCTATGGATCTCTGTGTCTATGGATCTCTACGTGTGTCTATGGATCTCTACGTGTGTCCATGGATGTCTATGTGTGTCCATGGATCTCTATGTGTGTCTATGGATCTCTACGTGTGTCTATGGATCTCTACGTGTGTCCATGGATGTCTATGTGTGTCTATGGATCTCTATGTGTGTCTATGGATCTCTATGTGTGTCTATGAATCTCTACGTGTGTCTATGGATCTCTGTGTGTGTCCATGGCTGTCTACGTGTGTCTATGGATCTCTACCTGTGTCCATGGCTGTCTACGTGTGTCCATGGCTGTCTACGTGAGTTCATTGGCGAATGAGGGGCGGCTGACTCAGTAGCAAGTTACCTTGAAGAGGTCGGCCACGATCCCAAAGTCGGCCACCTGGAAGATCGGCGCCTCCGGGTCTTTGTTGATGGCGACGATGGTCTGCACGAGGACACAAGACAGAGATCCACCGTGTGGGCGCGTACGCACGCTCAACTTCTACCGCACCGTAACGTAGCCAGCCGTGGCCATAGAAGCGCGCCGGGGGAAGGGCAACACAACGGAACTGTGTTCTTCGAACCCACCGCGGGCTGATGGCCAAGCAGTCACGCCCGATCAAAAAACAAAACCAAAAAACCCATTTCTTCTTACGATTGTTCACAATGCAGGTTCTTGTTTTTCTTCGGTTAGACCTGCATCGTGGATGATGTTGGTTGCGAAAAAGTATACGTGTTTGAACCCAATAAATGAATCTTGCTTTGAGGCTTTCGTGACCGCAGGAAAAATCCACACCCGTTGGGTGCTTTCGGTAAAAGTTCACGTAGTAGGTAGAAAATTAAAATAAATCCCGACGATTCGGGCGCAACACAAGCGTCCGCCGTCAGGTGGGAAAGCGTGGTCCGCTCATCGGCCAATAATTCTTGTCGCTGCTACGCCTTGTCAATTGTTGTTTTTTTGACCCTTTTATCTGGCAACAAAACTGACACCTTTTTTTGTTTGTTTACAAGGAGCCATGTTTGCATTGGCCACAATACCTGCGGTCGGAATGCAAACAAAAAAAACACGCGTAACTCTAATGATAATTTTGATTTAAAGCTTTCGTGACTGCAGCAATTCATATTCGTAGTTCTTTCGGTAAAGTCACGTTGAAGGGAGACAATAAAATAATGAAATATATATAAAACAATAAAAAAAATTCTCACGACGTTTCGACCATAACACAAACGGTCGTCTTCAGGTGTGTTGGTTTGCATGAATTTATTTTTGAACGGTGCATTTATTATAAAAATTTCGTCTCCCCCCTCCGCTTTTCAGAATATAGATGGACTAGTCCTAAATAAACTTCCAAATCGCTGCGCGTGGCGCTAACGTTTTTTATAAATAAATAAATGCGCCGTTTAAAAATAAATTTATGCAAACCAACACACCTGAAGACGACCGTTTGTGTTATGGTCGAAACGTCGTGAGATTTTTTTTACTGTTACATATATATTTTATTATTTTGTTGTTTCCCTTCAACGTGGTGACTTTACCGAAAGAACTAAGAATATGAACTCTTGATAATGTACGTGGCACTGTCCATGAAATTGATCGGTCCACACCCGAGACAGCTTTCCTTAGGGCCCAGTCTCACGTTGCCGTTGCACCAGATGACACCAGGTCCAACTCTATTTGAGGAGCGCCCACTCGGGAGGTGTCAAGCGTCGCTGGTGGGCGGAATTTTCTGATTTTCCTTTTTTTTTTAAAGCAATGGTGATGTTGTTTGGCCACTGGCGGTCACGAAGCTTGGGGTTTTCGTTCTTGTTTGTGTTGTTTAAGCCAGGCGGGGAAGCCGGAGGGGCTGAGAGAAAAACCCGCGCACGGCACGGGGAGAACATCGAAACGCCACACGCAAAGGAACCCGAGTTGCACACCGACCCCAGGAACTTGTCGCTGTGCGTCGCAAGCGTCACTACAGCGCCCACCGCCCTGCCACATACACATTGATGCGAGTTGTTGTTGTTTGGTGTGTTGTTTGGTGTTGTTTGTTGTTGTTGTGTGTTGTTGTTGTGTGTTGTTGTTGTTTGTTGTGTTGTTTGTTGTGTTGTTTGTTGTGTTGTGTGTTGTTGTTGTGTTGTTTGTTGTTGTTTGTTGTTGTTACCTTGCTGTCCTTCATTCCTGCCAAGTGCTGGATAGCGCCAGAGATGCCCACCGCGATGTACAGCTCCTACACACCGGGGACACGGTGGGGACACGGTGGGGACACGGTGGGGACACACCAGGGACACGGTGGGGACACGGTGGGGACACGGTGGGGACATGGTGGGGACACGGCAAAGACACCCAGACCGCACCAGAGGGAAGGGGAGCACAGGGTCAAAGGGCGATTGGCGAGTAAGCGCAGAATTTCGCAACCACTACACTCACACATTCATTTCTCAATTACATACTTGTTTCCCGTTGGCTGTCTGGACCAGAGTAGGTGGCACGGAGTAGTAACCACAGCTCCACAGAGAGAGGAAGTACACTGGATGTGGTGTGACGGACAGAAGTCTGTGACTCTCTACATACGCTTGTGGGTCTCTGTGCAAGTCTGTGGATCTCTATGCAAGTCTGTGGGTCTCTACGCACGTCTATGGACCTCTACGCAAGTCTATGTATCTCTATGCACGTCTGTGGATCTCTACGCACGTCTATGGATCTCTACGCAAGTCTATGTATCTCTATGCACGTCTGTGGATCTCTATGCACGTTTATGGATCTCTACGCAGGTCTATGGATCTTCGATGAAACTCTGCGGACCTCAGGGTCAAATTTGGCAGTTACCCAAAATGACTCAGCTGGGATTGGGCGTAGCAGCAATCCTCATCCCCTCTTGCATACTATCGTGAAAGAGTCGTGAGACTCCTCCGCCTTTTACGTCTCGCGTGCTCTGAAGAAGGGCCATTGCCCGAAACGTCACCTGTCATACGTTTCCTTTAACACGACGTGCGGTGTTATTCTTTGATCCCAATGCCCGTGGCTGATCGCCACTTCAAGAAACGTTTTTTGGTTTCTATCTTACCAGGCAAGGCCCACCGAGGCTACAGGGCTCTTTGTCAGACGCGACGTAGCCACGAACGATGTGGGCTCATCATCATCGTCGTCTTGGAAATTTACATCAACCGAAATACTCTAAAACGGGTGATGTTGATTCTAAATGTGGAGGTGAAAACCCGGAGGGCATGGAGAAAAATCCACGTGACCACGGGGAGAGAGAGAGACACACGCAAACTCCAAATATATAAGTGTCGTTGGCAGGGTTGGGATCGAACCCACAACCTCCTGCGTACCAGGCAGGGGAGTCAATCTCTCAACTTAAACCGAACTTTTTAAAATATTTTACCAGGTAATGCCCGCCGAGCTATGAAGCTCTCTGTCATTAGCAACCTGCCGATCTCAAGTGATGTCTCAACGAAGTGGCTTATCGTGTGGAAATTCACAGCACCCAAATGCTTTATAGCCGCCAAATACTTTGCGGCAGTCAGTTGAACACGTTAGGATTTCGCGACCAGGGTTCTCAGATAAACATGATCCGTTGTGATTTACGTGACCACTTTGACCCCCCTCTGGTCTTCGCACCTGATCGGCTGGCTCACAGTGATGACATCACCTTTACTAAACCGAACTTTCTACTCCAGATTTGAAGTTTTCGTGACTGCAAGGATCCATATCCTTTGGCTCTTTCGGTAAAGTCGCGTAGGTGAAAAAAATAAAATAAATTAAATCGCGACGTTTCGATCGCAAACACAGGCGACCATCATCGGGTGTGACAACCACAGCAAGAAAATGTTTTTTTTTTTAATACCGAAGTGGGAGAGATGCCAGAGTTAGGGCAGTTAAATAAGTCAGAGAGGGGGAGGGTGGGGAGGGGGGACAGGGAGGGGGCCCAATGGGGAGAGGGAGGACGATCTTCGCAGAGGCGTTGAGAGCTAAGAAGCGACACGATTGCCCCACAAGACAGCTGACTGTGTCCACAGCAAAACAGCCGTACTGCTAAACGCTGAGGGTGCAATTAACCCGGCAGGATAGACTAGTACCCGGTAAATAAGGTGGAACAACTATGAACGGTTAAATTTTACTTGGTTACTAACACCTTTGCGACGATTGCTCAATTTGGATCCATCATCTCGGTTGAAGTTACGCCTACGTCTGTATATCTGGATGGCTTCATGAAACGAATCTTTGATATGGCAGCCAGACGGCTTTGCAGGGCACCTTGGTCTCGGGGAAAAAAACAAGATCACGGGAGCCCACAGCGTTATAGCAATGATCAGCAACGGTGGAGGAATTGGTTCTGCCGTGTTTCAGATCTGACTTGTGCTCGCGGACGCGGTCGGAGACTTTCCATCTCGCCGCACGGGGCCCAGGGCCGGAGAGCTCTAATTCAGAAGCGACGCAGCCATCGCAAAACGATCGCTCAACGAAGCCGACCGAGCGAAGCAGTTAAACATCTCGCCACCGCGGCCATCTCTGTCCCCAAGAGGCCGTGGAAGATGACGCGTGGGGGGGAGGAGGGGAGGGTGGGAGGTGGTGGGGGGAGGGTGGGTGGGTGGAGCGGCGTTGTGTCTCTGTCCGTCCGTGCGCAGCAGCGGAGGAGGAGGAGGAGGAGGAGGGGGAGGAGGCGACGGGATGAGGTGCCGGAGCGGGCGACTCACCGGGGCGACCATCTTGCCCGTCTGGCCGACCTGCATGTCGTTGGGCACGAAGCCAGCGTCCACGGCCGCACGCGACGCTCCCACTGTGCCGCGCGGACAAGGAGGAGGAGGAGGCCGAGCGGACAAGGAGGAGGAGGAGGCCGAGCGGGCAAGGAGGAGGAGGAGGCCGAGCGGACAAGGAGGAGGAGGAGGCCGAGCGGACAAGGAGGAGGAGGCCGCGCGGACAAGGAGGAGGAGGAGGCCGAGCGGACAAGGAGGAGGAGGAGGCCGAGCGGACAAGGAGGAGGAGGCCAAGCGGACAAGGAGGAGGAGGAGGCCGAGCGGGCAAGGAGGAGGAGGCCGAGCGGACAAGGAGGAGGAGGAGGCCGAGCGGACAAGGAGGAGGAGGCCGAGCGGGCAAGGAGGAGGAGGAGGCCGAGCGGACAAGGAGGAGGAGGAGGCCGAGCGGACAAGGAGGAGGAGGCCGCGCGGACAAGGAGGAGGAGGAGGCCGAGCGGACAAGGAGGAGGAGGAGGCCGAGCGGACAAGGAGGAGGAGGCCAAGCGGACAAGGAGGAGGAGGAGGCCGAGCGGGCAAGGAGGAGGAGGCCGAGCGGACAAGGAGGAGGAGGAGGCCGAGCGGACAAGGAGGAGGAGGCCGAGCGGGCAAGGAGGAGGAGGAGGCCGAGCGGACAAGGAGGAGGAGGAGGCCGAGCGGACAAGGAGGAGGAGGCCGAGCGGACAAGGAGGAGGAGGAGGAGGCCGCGCGGACAAGGAGGAGGAGGCCGAGCGGACAAGGAGGAGGAGGAGGCCGAGCGGACAAGGAGGAGGAGGCCGAGCGGCGGTCAGAGGGAGGGCGGCGAACTCTGGGACGGTTTTGATGTTCTCAGGTCAGCAACGGGTCACAAACCCGTTGTGTTTTTTATTTTTTGGGGGGGGGGGGGGGGGGCGGGGGGGGGGGGGGGGGAGATCTTTTTGCCAGAACGATTTTATCAGACTTTGTGAACAGAACGCTCAGCCTACGGCGCCACCTATAGCACTGGCTTACAGTGCACACACCGTCCCCCTGTGACCCCGTCCCCCTGTGACCCCGTCCCTCTGTGACCCCGTGACTCTGTGACCCCGTCCCCGTGACCCCGTCCCTCTGTGACCCCGTCACTCTGCGACCCCTTCCCCCTGTGACTCCGTCCCCCCGTGACCCCGTCCCCGTGACCCAATCCCTCTGTGACCCCGTGACTCTGTGACCCCGTCCCCGTGACCCCGTCCCTCTGTGACCCCGTCCCCCTGTGACCCCGTCCCCCTGTGACCCCGTCCCCCTGTGACCCCGTGACTCTGTGACCCCGTGACTCTGTGACCCCGTCCCCCTGTGACCCCGTCCCCCTGTGACCCCGTGACTCTGTGACCCCGTCCCCGTGACCCCGTCCCCCTGTGACCCCGTGACTCTGTGACCCCGTGACTCTGTGACCCCGTCCCCCTGTGACCCCGTCCCCCTGTGACCCCGTGACTCTGTGACCCCGTCCCCTGTGACCCCGTCCCCCTGTGACCCTGTCCCCCTGTGACCCCGTCCCTCTGTGACCCCGTGACTCTGTGACCCCGTCCCCCTGTGACCCCGTCCCTCTGTGACCCCGTCCCTCTGTGACCCCGTCACTTTGTGACCCCGTCCCCCTGTGACCCCGTCCCCCTGTGACCCCGTCCCTCTGTGACCCCGTGACTCTGTGACCCCGTCCCTCTGTGACCCCGTGACTCTGCGACCCCGTCACTCTGCGACCCCGTCACTCTGTGACCCCTTCCCCCTGTGACCCGGTCCCTCTATGACCCTGTCACTCTGTGACCCCGTGACTCTGCGACCCCGTGACTCTGTGACCCCGTCCCCCTGTGACCCCGTCCCCCTGTGACCCCGTGACTCTGTGACCCCGTCCCCCTGTGACCCCGTCCCCCTGTGACCCCGTGACTCTGTGACCCCGTGTAGCCAAGTCCGCCGTACCGGCGGCGTGCAGCTTGTCTGCCAGGTCGTACAGCAGCTTGAAGTTCTCTCCGTTCTTGAGGCCGCGGCCTGCACACGGCGTCCAGTCGCGGGGGGTCAACCGGGGGGTGGGGGGGGTGGGGGGGGTGGGGTGGGGGGGGGGTGGGGGGGGGTGGGGGGGGGGCAATGGAGGGACAAAGGGAGAGGGAGGCAGTTGGGTGGAGGTTGTGTCGGTGGGGGGGGAGGTGGGGGGGGGGAGGTGGGGGGGGGAGGTGGGGGGGGAGGTGGGGGGGAGGTGGGGGGGAGGTGGGGGGGGAGGTGGGGGGGGGAGGTGGAGGTTGTTGGGGGGGGGGGGGGTCATCGTAGGGGGTTTCGAAATTTCAAAGCCGCTTTGAAAGCGACACGACTGTAAAACTGTAAAACTGAACACGCCCGCTGTCCCCCCCCCCCCCCCCCCCGAGGGAGCCGAAGTGGCGACGTCTCACAAGGCCGCTCGGCGCGGATCGGCAAAACGCAGCGGCGGGAACAAATACAAACAAAGTCACCGGCGTCACTGGCGTCACCGGCGTCACCGGCGGCAGCGGCTCGGCTGTCAGACTCAAAATCAGAAGATGAATTCACACAGGAGGAGGAATCCGATGAGCTAAGAAGCTCTTTAAACATTTTTTTTTTTTTTTTACAGATTCTAGATTTGAAGTTTTCGTGACTGCAATGATCCATACTCTTTGCTTCTTTCGGTAAAGTCACGTAGGTAGAAATAAAAATAAAGTTAATCAAATCACGACGTTTCGGAGGCAACACAAGCCTCTGTCATCAGGTGTAACCAGCACAGCAAAATTACTGTAAAGAGAGCTATTTTGTAATAAGAGATTATTATTATTATTATATAGGGTAAGAGGAGGGGGCACAGGGTCAGAACGTCACGACAACAAATAACTAAATTTTGATTTAAAGCTTTCGTGACTGCAGGGATTCATATTCTCGGTTCTTTCGGTAAAGTCACCGCCACGTAGAAGGGAAACAATAAAATAATAAAAATATAAAACAATAAAATAACTTGATTGATGATGATTGCTTGCGTTGCAGTCGGGACGTCGTGAGAATTTTAATCGTTTTATATTTTTATTATTTCATTGTTTCCCCCTTCTAACGTGACTTTACCGAAAGAACCCGAGAATAACAAACAACCAATTTGTCGGAAACGACCCGACCATAGCGTGGCCAAGTAGCTCATCAACACCCCCCCCACCCCCCCCCACCCCCCCCCCCCCCCACCCCCGTACCTCCGGAGATGACCACCTTGGCGCTGGTGAGCTCCGGCCGGTCGCTCTTGGTCAGGCTTTGCTCCAGCCACAGCGAGACTCCCGCGGCCGCGGGCACGGAGGCCGCTGCCTCCTCGCTGGCCGAGCCGCCCTGGGCCTCGGCGGCCTCGAAGGCCGTGCCGCGGAAGGTCAGGACCTTGACCTTGTCGTTCGACTTGATGGTGCAGAGGGCGTTGCCTGCCACGTGGGGTGGAGGAGGGGGGGGGGGTGGAGGGGGGCGGGGAACATAGCAGCGGCGTTGCTCAACTCTCGGCGACCGCCCCCCATCCGCCCCCCCCCCCCCCCCCCCCCCCCCCCCCCGACACCCGGTGGAGGTTGGCGTCGGTCGGTGGATCATCGTCGCACGTGAGCGCGTCGAGGAGGTCGCCATCGCCCAGCTTGCCAGGGGGTAACAGCGGGTGGGTTAATTTCCATCCGTGTTCCATCTGTACAGGGATTCGGTGCTATCCCCCTGCCCCCCCCCCCCCCCCCCCCCCCCCCACCTCTACTCCTAAGCGTTGGTTTTACCCGGGGCTCCGCGGTTTCCTCCGTACACAGATTAACATAATTTCGGAGAAATTACGCAAATTTAAAAGTTCATTCAATTTTCATTATTCTCATTAAAATTTCCATACACCACATACACAACAGCGCGTGTTTAAACACTCGATAATGCAGTGACTATTGCAGACTCTTGTGTGTATTTGACCAGGTGGGGCCCCACCACCGAGCTATACAGTTCTGGCCACGGCAAATGACAGCTCCAGGCCCGATGATGCTGGATGTGATTACCAGCGAAACGTCGTGCTCAAAAATTGTGAATGTTGTTAGATTCACTCTTCAACACACCGGTGGGCTAAAGTAGCGAACTGCGGTAAAACACCTTTGGATTGCGAGCATTACTCGTTCCGGAAAACGTGTTTGTAAATCCAAAGCGCTCGTATATCGAAGCACAACGTACGTCAGCTGTGATCACGTGATGCTCGGCAGTACAATGCGTACTACACGTGCTGCCGCTCGTATTGCCAAGACCCTCGCTCGTTCATCAAATTAATATTTAGTTACAAATTTTTGCCCGTCTTGCAGAACCAGACCAAGTTACTCGCAACCTACGTGACTTTACCGAATAGAACCAAAGAGTATGGATCCCTGCAGTCACGAAAGCTTCAAATCTATAATTTACCCAACTTTCTCTTCTGTCAACGTGACACTTTTTTTTTACTGACGCGGACAGTGTCGGGTGACGGAAGGGTTACGGCACATTCACAAATCCCGCGGGTCTCACCCAAAACACCTTTTGTCATGAATAACATTGGTCGTGAAAGCCTGCCACTTGTTAAACTACTTGAGCCATGTTGGCACCGCGAGACGGAGGGGAAAGCGGAAACAACAAATGAGGAAATGTGCAGTGGACGCGCCCTATAAGGCGCTATCTGCCCACGGAGTCGCGACGAAGCCAACGTCGAATCGTACATTATCATAGCGTGCCGCTTACCGGCGTAGATGGAGCGGATGAACGTGTCGGGAGATTTGACCTCGAGGACGTCCGACAGCGGAGACACGTCCAGCTTAGCAGCTACACGCGGCAGGAGGCCCTGCGGCAGCAAGATGATAAATGAGAAACAGGAACAGTCAGCAGAACATCAACAACTCTAAATAGTCAATCTTTGGCTTTTTTCGGTGAAGTCACGTATAAATAAGAAATAATAAAATAGCATAATAGCGTACGACGTTTCGGCTGCAACACAAGCAGCCATCATCAGGTACAGAAGAGCTACATTTAAGAGAGAGGGGAAACACATAACCCCAGATGTATATACAGACACACAAGTAGGGGGGAACTAACACAGATACAACAGGGGACACAGAGAGAGAAGCATACCAAACAGAGTTTAGCAGAATTTGGAGACCATATAAAGTAACACAGACGGTCGGTCAAAACACAATTAACGCATAGCCTGGTTGATTACGCTATTTCAAAGATTGCTAAATTGCAAGTTAAGTATGAAATTGAAGATACAGACGGCACACACACACACATAGACATTAACTCTAAATAGGCGCGACTGCAAACGTTTGAATGGACTGTTGTATTGTTACCCCCCAACCGTCTTAGTAATTTGATCCGGGCAGCGCTGCTGGCTACACTGCTGCATGGGCCGCCGTTCATCCAGCGCTGTGGACGCTGCTGCAGTAGCAGCAGCAGCAGCAGCATCAGCAGCAGCAGCAGCAGGTGTTGGTGGATCCCACACAGCAATACTTCAGCAAAAAAAAAACCCCAAAAAATTACTCCTGTGGTTTTCCCAGCTCATGGTGATGACGATGATGATCGCTTGTGTTGCAATCGAAACGTCGTGACTCATTTTATTTTCTCCCTAAAAAAACCAAAGACTGTGGATTCCCCGCAGTCACGAAAGCTTCAGATCTGGCAACATTTTGCTGCAGCAACTTTTGTTTAAAAGGGGTAAGGCCCACTGAGCCAAGCGACAGCTCAACGAAGTGGCTCATCGTCACGTGGAGATTTACTGCGGGCCCAATGCTCCTGAACGCGCGCGTGTTCAGTCTAAACGTCGGGGGCGGGGGGCGGGGAAAACCGGAAAACCCGGAGAAAAATCCACTTGACCACGGGGAGAGAGAGACACTCAAACGCCAAATATACAGGCATCGTCAGGGCCGGGATCGCAACCACGACCCCCCTGTATACCGGGCGAGGTAGTTAACATCTCGCCACCGTGGTGTCAGGGACGAGCCCGAGGCCCTGGCTGCTGTCCCAGGAGAAGGCGGCACGGCAAAGCGTGGACTTGCTCCGTACGCGAGGATTCTCCCCGGCAGGCGTTGGGGGGAGTTGAGATTGGCGAGGGTTGGGGGACGGGCGAGGCGGAGATGGCGAAGGGAGGTTGAGGCAATGGTTGGAGGAGGGATGGGAGGGCTGGAGACGATGATGGGAGGGGGGAGGCGAGTGGGGAGGGTTATGATGATTATGATGATGATGCTGTTTGCCCAGAAAGCCCCACCGAGTCTTGTGACTATTTTATTTTTCCGGGAGGGCCCTGCCAAGTTTAACACGGTAAGGGAGGGGGGGGTGAGGGGGCTTGATTGCTGCCGCGCGTAAATCCTGGCCGAGTATTTTTGCGGGTGAGAGGAGAGGCGAGAGAGGGGGAATGGGTCGAAGAGAAGAGGGGTAGGGGAGGGGTAGGGGAGGGGTAGGGGAGGGGTAGGGGAGGGGTAGGGGAGGGGTAGGGGAGGGGTAGGGGAGGGGTAGGGGAAGGGTCGGGAAGGGATAGCAGAGGGGGGAGGGGTAGGGGAGGGGTAGGGGAGGGGGAGGGGAGGGGTAGGGGAGAGGTAGGGGGGGGTAGGGGAGGGGTAGGGGAAGGGTCGGGAAGGGATAGCAGAGGGGGGAGGGGTAGGGGAGGGGCAGGGGAGGGGAGGGGTAGGGGAGGGGCAGGGGAGGGGAGGGGTAGCGGAGTGGTAGGGGAGGGGTAGGGAAGGGGAGGGTAGGGGCAGGGGAGGGGAGGGGTAGGGAAGAAGAAGGGGTAGCGGAGTGGTAGGGGAGGGGTAGGGGTAGGGGAGGGGTAGCGGAGTGGTAGGGGAGGGGTAGCGGAGTGGTAGGGGAGGGGTAGGGGAGGGGAGGGGAGGGGTAGGGGAGGGGTAGGGGAGGGGTAGCGTAGGGGGTAAGGGGACGTCACCTTCCCGAACGCCGTGGCGCCAGCACAGATGTGCGTGAACTGGAACTGTGTCTGCACGGCGAGGATGAGTGGAGTCAGCTCCTCTGCGTCAGGGGTCAAAGAGGGGAGGGGTGGGTGGGTGGGTGGGGTCAGGGGTCAACGGAGTCGAAGCGCTGCCCAGTTGCCCGGGCCTGGAACGGGGTTAACTCATCCTCCCGGATCCTCGCGACCGAGGGCGGCGATTCCGCTCGAACAAGATTCCGTGGTTACCCAAGCGGAACGACGGGCGCCTCACGGGCCTCGCCGCGATTGGCCGTGAGCCTTGATCGACGTGAACAGCGAGCGGGAGGGCGAGCGAGCGGGAGGGCGAGCCGAGCCGAGCCGAGCCGAGACCCGGCTCTTGCACTGCCACGTGACACTCCCAACTTGCCTGGGCCCGCGTCGGGTGGCGGAAGGTCATGACGTGACCTCGGCCAAAAAAAAAGAATCGACGATGAATCGGGTGTCGCTTAGGAATCCTCAAACACACGGGGAGCCCCAAAATGATTATTACGGTGATGATGATGATGGTGATGTGGTGGAACCGATGCCACAGAAGGCCGTATGATCAGCTGAAGCATCCGCCACGTTAATAATCGGCCCATCCGCAAACACAGCCGGCAAATCATTTGCCGACCCTTCCCATCTCACCAATGACCGTTCGGGAATTGCTGTTTGTGCACGAACGCCCTTCGAACCCGGCCACCCGTTCGGCAGCCCCCCTCCCTCCCTCTGCCCGGCCAAACGGAAGCCGCCTTGGGGGATGCGGTGGCTGGGCACGTGGCGTTTTCGTGACCCAGCCAGCGCAGCCGGAGGGAAAAACAGAAAAGAACAATCGACGATAGAACTGTGGGAGCGCGGCTCAGCGCCGGAGTAATGGAGTTCAGGATCGCGATTCGCAGACGCCGTAAATTCAACACATTTTTACGTTACAAGGTCACGCCCCCCCCACCGAGCTGTAGAGGACTTTTTCGGAAGCGGCCCGGGCCACAAATGATAGCGCGACAAAGCGGCCTGTGACGTGGACATTAATAGCAGCCAAATGCTCTAAATGTGCGCAGCGTTTAAATGTGGATGGGAAAAACCGGAGGACCCGGAGATAAAATCCACACGGTCCACGGGGAGAGAAACACCGCAAAACTCCAAACATACAGCAGGTGTCACGGTCGGGATCGAACCCACAACCTCCTGTATACCGGGCGAGGTAGTTAACATCTCATAGCCACCGTGGCGCTCGACTCACCGGGCAGGAAGCCTTTGTAGGCGTCGTTCTGCGCCACGATCACTCTCCCCACGCCCTTCACGCTCTTGAGAGCCTGTGCAGCCTGGGGGGGGTGGTCAGCAAGACCGGGGGACAAGGTGAACACTGTGTTGTCAACCCTGCACGGTCAACTCAGCGCTCGGTCAACCCCACGTGGTCAACCCTGCACGGTCAACTCAGCGCTCGGTCGAACCCCGCGTGGTCAACCCCACCTGGTCAACCCCACGTGGTCAACCCCGCGTGGTCAACCCCACCTGGTCAACCCCACGTGGTCAACCCCACGTGGTCAACCCCACCTGGTCAACTCCACGTGGTCAACCCCACGTGGTCAACCCCACGTGGTCAACCCCACGTGGTCAACCCCACGTGGTCAACCCCGCGTGGTCAACCCCACGTGGTCAACCCTGCACGGTCAACTCAGCGCTCGGTCGAACCCCGCGTGGTCAACCCCACGTGGTCAACCCCACGTGGTCAACCCCGCGTGGTCAACCCCACGTGGTCAACCCCGCGTGGTCAACCCCACGTGGTCAACCCCACGTGGTCAACCCCACGTGGTCAACCCCACGTGGTCAACCCCACGTGGTCAACCCCACGTGGTCAACCCCGCGTGGTCAACCCCACGTGGTCAACCCCACGTGGTCAACTCAGCGCTCGGTCAACCCCACGTGGTCAACCCCACGTGGTCAACCCCGCGTGGTCAACCCCGCGTGGTCAACCCCACCTGGTCAACCCCACGTGGTCAACCCCACGTGGTCAACCCCGCGTGGTCAACCCTGCAAGGTCAACCCCACGTGGTCAACCCTGCAAGGTCAACCCCACGTGGTCAACCCCGCGTGGTCAACCCCGCGTGGTCAACCCCACGTGGTCAACCCCGCGTGGTCAACCCCGCGTGGTCAACCCCACGTGGTCAACCCTGCACGGTCAACTCAGCGCTCGGTCGAACCCCGCGTGGTCAACCCCACGTGGTCAACCCCACGTGGTCAACCCCGCGTGGTCAACCCCACGTGGTAAACCCCACGTGGTCAACCCCGCGTGGTCAACCCCACCTGGTCAACCCCACGTGGTCAACCCCACGTGGTCAACCCCACGTGGTCAACCCCACGTGGTCAACCCCGCGTGGTCAACCCCACGTGGTCAACCCCACGTGGACAACTCAGCGCTCGGTCAACCCCACGTGGTCAACCCCACGTGGTCAACCCCGCGTGGTCAACCCCGCGTGGTCAACCCCACCTGGTCAACCCCACGTGGTCAACCCCACGTGGTCAACCCCGCGTGGTCAACCCCACCTGGTCAACCCTGCAAGGTCAACCCCATGTGGTCAACCCCGCGTGGTCAACCCCGCGTGGTCAACCCCACGTGGTCAACCCCGCGTGGTCAACCCCGCGTGGTCAACCCCACGTGGTCAACCCCACGTGGTCAACCCCACGTGGTCAACCCCGCCCGTTCTTCCCGTGCCCGTCCCTCTCTCCCCGCCCGCCCGCCGGCCCTGCCGGCGCGTGCCTACCGGCGCGTGCCTACCGGCGCGTGCCTACCGGCGCGTGCCTACCGGCGCGTGCCTACCGGCGCGTGCCTACCGGCGCGTGCCTACCGGCGCGTGCCTACCGGCGCGTGCCTACCGGCGCGTGCCTACCGGCGCGCAGTTGGTGCCGGCCACGAGGCAGGAGACGTCGCCGCCGAGCCGCGTGGCGGCCGCGATGGCGTTGAGGGTGACCGGTGCGAGCGCCGCATCGCTGTGCTCGGCGATCACCAGAGTGCTCTGCAAGCGCCGCAGCGCCGCCGTCTGGGCGCCCCGGCAAAACACAAGCACAACGCGCAAACGGCACGGGGTCACAATCCTCGAGCCCGCGCTCCCGTTGCGAGACGACATTGCGACCGCGTGGAGGCGAGCACGGAGGCCTTCATCCAGCAGCGGACTGATCGTGCTTGGTGCGTGCGTGTGTGTGCGTGCGTGTCTGTTTGAATGTGCCATGTGAGCGCCGCGAGGTTTGTGAACGCTCCCCACGGAGAGATGTCCCGAGGGCGGGGACCGGTTTTGGCATTCAACTCCAAATTGATAAACGCATTTCTGTAGAGCTGCTTTTTAGTGTTTTTAGTTTGTTGTTGTTCTTCCCCCGCACCTCGCACGGTTGGCTACACACTACCCATAGACTAACACTACCCATAGACTCAACACTGCCCATAGACTCAACACTGCCCATAGACTCACACTACCCATAGACTCAACACTACCCATATTATTTTATTGTTTCCCTTCAACGTGACTTTACCGAAAGAGCTAAGTATATGAATTACTGCAGTCACGAAAGCTTTAAATCAAAACTACCCATAGATTCAACACCGCCCATAGACTCAACACTACCCATAGACTAACACCGCCCATAGACTCAACACTACCCATAGACTAACACTGCCCATAGACTCAACACTACCCATAGACTCAACACTACCCATAGACTAACACTGCCCATAGACTCAACACTACCCATAGACTCAACACTACCCATATACTAACACTGCCCATAGACTAACACTGCCCATAGACTCAACACTGCACCTCCGATTAGCACGGTTGGCTACGTACGGTGGCGAAAGAAGTTCAACACACGTTCAGTGTCTCATCGGCAACAGTGAGGCTTGCTTGATCCAACAACGCTGATTCATGTTACAGGCAAGGACCCCCCCTCTGTAAGATAAGGGTCCCAGTACGATGCAAATCCCACGTACAACACAAATGATCATCCCCGCTTGGAAGCCAAGCGGCGCTGAGCCTGGACAGTGCTCGGATGGGCTAACACCACCACCACCACCACGCCTAACAGGTGCTACAGGCTTCGGTGGGGTGGAGTGGCGGGCTACGTTGTGGGGGCCTCCCACGTTCACCGACCCCGCGCTGGTTCACCGACCCCGCACTGGTTCACCGACCCCGCGCTGCCCAGCGCGGGCAAGTGCGGCCAAACTAAGCCGGCGTGACGCGCACGGCATGCAGCGGCCTTCATCCAAGCGGTGGATTGACGGGGGACTGTCGAGGGGTCGACGGGCGATGACGGTGGCTGGCGGTGCACCCGGCAAAGGGTTCACGGACAACTGCTGGCGCGCATCCCAATTCCCCGCGACGTTGTACGGTCCACATTCTCGGTTCTTTCGGCAAAGTCACCGCGTAGGCGGGATTCAATGAAATAGCAAAAATATAAAACAGAAGCACCCACAAAGTTTTGTTAAAATTTTCTTGCCGCGGTTTTCGCGCCTGACGACGACGACGACTGCTCGTCTTGCAGTCGAAACGTCGCGAGAATTTAATTGTTTTGTATTTTCATTATTTAATTGTTTCCCTTCTACGTGGTGGGTGACTTTACCGAAAGAACCCAAAAAAATATGAATCCCTGCGGTCACGAAAGCTTTAAATCAAAAGTTATACAATCCGTTGCGCAACACACGCGCACACACACACACACACACCCCGGCCTGAACACAAACAAAAAGCGACCAAAGATCCCCCACATAGTTGCCTTTACAGCAGGCTGTTGGGGGGGGGGGGGGGGGTTTGGGGAGTGGGCAAGTGCTGTCAGTGAGGAGCACCTAAGAAGGCCGGCATGGCACACGAGGGAGCGAGCGAGCGGGCGAGCGGGCGGGCGGGTGGGTGGGTGGCCGGCACCACTCGCGGCCGCCGATGCTCACACACGTTTGAAGGCCGAGTTGACCTTCGGGAGAGCCAGGATCGCTTCGAATGTTCGCCACTGTTACTGGGCGGGGTGGATAACGCAGCTTTGTAAAAAAATAACCAACGTCCCTTCGCCCTACGAATTCGATACGCACCGTCACCTTACGTGGATCTAGCTCACGTGCATGAAAGTAATGGAGGCTGTTTGACCGTACTTCGCCACGCTGGTCAGCGCGGGTTGGAGTAGATTGCAGGCCAACGCTGGACTGGTTCAGCTGTCACTCGCCACTGACCCGTTAGTCGCCATCGCCGGGGAATCGAACTCGGGTTTGCTGGGTTCGTAGCGCAGTGCGGTAACCACTGGGCTCATCGCCCCCCCCACCCCCACCCCGCCCGCCCAACATACATGTTTTTATTATTCAAAATAAAAACATGTATGTTGGACGTCTGTCGCACCGCACTTTGCCAACCGTGCTAATCGGAGTTACAGGATTGGCGTGCTGATGAGAAGTGCTGATGGGTACCACTGTAGCGAGATGCTAACTACCTCGCCTGGTATACAGGAGGTCGTGGGTTCTGTCTCTCTCTCATCATCAACACGGTGGCTAGGGAGATGTTAACTACCTCGCCTGGTATACAGGAGGTCGTGGGTTTGGTCCCAACCCTGACGAAGCCCGCCGCTGTATATTTGGAGTTTGCGGTGTCTCTCTCTCATCATCAACACGGTGGCTAGGGAGATGTTAACTACCTCAACTGGTGTACAGGAGGTCGTGGGTTCTATCTCTCTCTCATCATCAACACGGTGGCTAGGGAGATGTTAACTACCTCGCCAGGTACACAGGAGGTCGTGGGTTCGATCCCGACCCTGACGCCTGCTGCTGCTGTATATTTGGAGTTTGCGGTGTCTCTCTCCCCGTGGTTGCGTGGATTTTTCTCCGTTTTTCCCCCCCCGCATTTAGAATCAACGTCACATGTTTAGCGTATTTGACTGCTGCTATAAATGTCCATGTGATTAGCCACAGCATTATACAATCGATGAAAAGATATCGCGTCGCTCCTCCGCCCTCCGTTGTTGTTGGAGGGCGACTGCCTCCAACTGCCCAGTAGCGTCCTTCACGAGCCTCCTCCACAGAGGCCGATCTTACAGTCATCGGCAAGTCCACTCAGCTCCACGTCCTCCTGTACCACATCACTCCATCTCTTCTCTAGCCCGTGCCGCGCCCATTTAGCCCCCTCGATGCGGCCAAACAAAAGCTGTTTCGGCATGCGGTGGCTGGGCATGCGGGCTACATGACTCAGCCAACGCAGCCTTGCCTGCCGGAGGAGCTCACCAATGGGACCTTGCCCAGATCTTTCAAGGATTTGTGAGCTCCTCACACAATCCAGTCTGGTTAAAGCCAGGATGGATCGTAGGCAGGCTAGCCTAAATGTGTCTAACCGGCGAAGATATTCCATTAGGGGGGTCCACGTTTCGCAAGCGTAGAGAAGGGAGGGAATGACCGTGGCCGAGAAGACCTGAAGCTTAGTGCGGAGCGACAGACCAGGTAGCTTCCACACAGCATTACGCAACCGATGAAAAGATATTGCTGCTCGACTGATTCGGAGTGAGACCTCTGCTGTTAAACTGGAGCCGGTCACTGAGACACACACTGAGACACACACTCACACACACACTGAGACACACTGAGACACTGAGACACACTGAGACACACTGAGACACACTGAGACACTGAGACACACTGAGACACAGTGAGACAAGAGAGACAGGCCCACACGACCGCTACTCACCACTTTGAGGCCTGCAGGCCTTCACACACACACTGAGACACACACTGAGACACACACACTGAGACACACACACACTGAGACACACACACACACACTGAGACACACACACTGAGACACACACACACCGAGACACACACACACTGAGACACACACTGAGACACAAGAGAGAGACAAGAGAGACAGGACCACACGACCGCTACTCACCACTTTGAGGCCTGCAGGCCTTCACACACACACACTGTGACACACTGAGACACACACTGAGACACTGAGACACACACACTGAGACAAAGATCCCCCATATAGCCTTGACAGACTGTAGGAGCAAGTGCTGTTAGCGAGCACCTATGAAGGCCGGAACGGTACACGAGGGGGTGGGTGGCCAGCACCACGCCCGACCGCCTTTGTCTCCCTAGTGGCAATGTTTACACACCACACCAGGTACTCATTTGAGGCTGAGTCGACCTAGGGGAGGCCCGGGACCGGTTCAGATAATCGTCACTGGTGTTGGCCGTGAGCGGGAATCGAACCCGTGTCGCCAGGTTCATAACGCAGCGCGCTAACCGCTACACTATCGCTCCCCATAACACACACACTGAGACACACACTGAGACACACACACTGAGACACACACACTGAGACACACACTGAGACACACACACTGTGACACACACACACACTGTGACACACACACTGAGACACACAGAGAGACAAGAGAGAGACAAGAGAGACAGGACCACACGACCGCTACTCACCACTTTGAGGCCTGCAGGCCTTCACACACACACACACACATACTGAGACACTGAGACACACACACACACTGAGACACACACACACTGAGACACACACACACTGAGACACACACACACTGAGACACACACACACTGAGACACACAATGAGACACACACTGAGACACAAGAGAGAGACACTGAGACAGGACCACACGACCGCTACTCACCACTTTGAGGCCTGCAGGCCTTCACACACACACACTGAGACACACTGAGACACACACACACACACTGAGACACACACACAAACTGAGACACACACTGAGACACACAGAGAGACAAGAGAGACAAGAGAGAGACAAGAGAGAGACAAGAGAGACAGGACCACACGACCGCTACTCACCACTTTGAGGCCTGCAGGCCTTCACACACACACTGTGACACACTGAGACACACTGTGACACACACACACACTGAGACACACACTGAGACACACACTGAGACACACACTGAGACACACACTGAGACACACACTGAGACACACACTGAGACACACAGAGAGACAAGAGAGAGACAAGAGAGAGACAAGAGAGACAGGACCACACGACCGCTACTCACCACTTTGAGGCCTGCAGGCCTTCTCACACACACACTGTGACACACACACACTGAGACACACACACACTGAGACACACTGAGACACACACTGAGACACACTGAGACAAGAGAGACACAAGAGAGAGACACTGAGACAGGACCACACGACCGCTACTCACCACTTTGAGGCCTGCAGGCCTTCTCACACACACACACTGAGACACACACACACTGAGACACACACACACTGAGACACACACACACTGAGACACACACACACTGAGACACACTGAGACACACACTGAGACACACTGAGACAAGAGAGACACAAGAGAGAGACACTGAGACAGGACCACACGACCGCTACTCACCACTTTGAGGCCTGCAGGCCTTCTCACACACACACTGAGACACACACACACACTGAGACACACACACACTGTGACACACACACACTGTGACACACACACAGAGACACACACTGTGACACACACACACACTGTGACACACACACACACACTGAGACACACAGAGAGACAAGAGAGAGACAAGAGAGAGACAAGAGAGACAAGAGAGAGACAAGAGAGAGACGAGAGAGACAAGAGAGACAGGACCACACGACCGCTACTCACCACTTTGAGGCCTGCAGGCCTTCACACACACACAGACACACACTGAGACACTGAGACACACACTGAGACACTGAGACACACACTGAGACACACACACACTGAGACACACACACACTGAGACACACACACACTGAGACACACAATGAGACACACACTGAGACACAAGAGAGAGACAAGAGAGACAGGACCACACGACCGCTACTCACCACTTTGAGGCCTGCAGGCCTTCACACACACACACTGAGACACACACACACACTGAGACACACACACACACTGAGACACACACACACTGAGACAAGAGAGAGACAAGAGAGACACAAGAGAGAGACACTGAGACAGGACCACACGACCGCTACTCACCACTTTGAGGCCTGCAGGCCTTCACACACACACATACTGAGACACTGAGACACACACACACACTGAGACACACACACACTGAGACACACGCACAAACTGAGACACACACTGAGACACACACTGAGACACAAGAGAGAGACACTGAGACAGGACCACACGACCGCTACTCACCACTTTGAGGCCTGCAGGCTTTCACACACATACACACTGAGACACACACACACACACTGAGACACACACTGAGACACACACACACACTGAGACACACTGAGACACACACTGAGACACTGTGACACACACACAGAGACACACACTGAGACACACACACACTGAGACACACACACACACTGAGACACACTGAGACACAAGAGAGAGACACTGAGACACAAGAGAGAGACAAGAGAGACAGGACCACACGACCGCTACTCACCACTTTGAGGCCTGCAGGCCTTCACACACACACACTGTGACACACTGAGACACACACACACTGAGACACACACTGAGACACACACACACTGAGACACACACACACTGAGACACACACACACAGAGACACACACTGAGACACACACACACACTGAGACACAGAGAGACAAGAGAGACACAAGAGAGAGACAAGAGAGACAGGACCACACGACCGCTACTCACCACTTTGAGGCCTGCAGGCCTTCACACACACACACTGTGACACACACACTGAGACACACTGTGACACACACACACACTGAGACACACACACAAACTGAGACACACACACAAACTGAGACACACACACTGAGACACACTGAGACACACAGAGAGACAAGAGAGACAGGACCACACGACCGCTACTCACCACTTTGAGGCCTGCAGGCCTTCACACACACACACTGTGACACACACACACACTGAGACACACACACAAACTGAGACACACACACTGAGACACACACACTGAGACACACTGAGACACACAGAGAGACAAGAGAGACAAGAGAGAGACAAGAGAGACAGGACCACACGACCGCTACTCACCACTTTGAGGCCTGCAGGCCTTCTCACACACACACTGAGACACACACACACTGAGACACACACACACTATGACACACACACACTGTGACACACACACACACTGAGACACACAGAGAGACAAGAGAGAGACAAGAGAGACAGGACCACACGACCGCTACTCACCACTTTGAGGCCTGCAGGCCTTCTCACACACACACTGAGACACACTGAGACACACTGAGACACACACACAGAGACACACACTGACACACACACACACTGTGACACACACACTGAGACACACTGTGACACACACACACACTGAGACACACACACAAACTGAGACACACACACAAACTGAGACACACACACTGAGACACACTGAGACACACAGAGAGACAAGAGAGACAGGACCACACGACCGCTACTCACCACTTTGAGGCCTGCAGGCCTTCACACACACACACTGTGACACACACACACACTGAGACACACACACAAACTGAGACACACACACTGAGACACACACACTGAGACACACTGAGACACACAGAGAGACAAGAGAGACAAGAGAGAGACAAGAGAGACAGGACCACACGACCGCTACTCACCACTTTGAGGCCTGCAGGCCTTCTCACACACACACTGAGACACACACTGAGACACACACACACTGAGACACACACACACTATGACACACACACACTGTGACACACACACACACTGAGACACACAGAGAGACAAGAGAGAGACAAGAGAGACAGGACCACACGACCGCTACTCACCACTTTGAGGCCTGCAGGCCTTCTCACACACACACTGAGACACACTGAGACACACTGAGACACACACACAGAGACACACACTGACACACACACACACTGAGACACACACTGAGACACAAGAGAGAGACACTGAGACAGGACCACACGACCGCTACTCACCACTTTGAGGCCTGCAGGCCTTCACACACAGAGACACACACTGAGACACACACACACTGTGACACACACACTGAGACACACTGAGACACACAGAGAGACAAGAGAGAGACACTGAGACAGGACCATACGACCGCTACTCACCACTTTGAGGCCTGCAGGCCTTCTCACACACACACTGTGACACACACTGAGACACACACACTGAGACACACACACTGAGACACACACACACACTGAGACACACACTGAGACACACACTGAGACACAGAGACACACACACACTGAGACACACACACACACTGAGACACACACACACACTGAGACACACACTAAGACACACTGAGACAAGAGAGAGACAAGAGAGACAGGACCACACGACCGCTACTCACCACTTTGAGGCCTGCAGGCCTTCTAGACACGAGCCCCAGCATCTTCCGGAGGGCGGGGAAGTCCCCACAACAACAACAACAACCACAACAACAACAACAACCACCCTTTAATTTACCTCGTTGATATCAACAACAACAACAACCACCACAATATTAATGTAGCTTCAAAGTGTTTCGCGACGGAGGCCGCTGCTGTCCCGGCTAGAGGAGTGGTGGTGGTGGTGACCTTGCCGCGAGTGGGCTCGCCCCGGACCCTGAATAGCAGCGAGAGAGAGGCAAAGTTGCCCCGGGTAGCCTCGAGAACGCCTCGGCCGTGTGGGGGGCGAGGGGCGGGCAAAGAGCAGCGCCTGATGGTGAAGGGCTGGCGCGGTGGCAACTATGAGGAGGGGGGTGGGTGGATGGTGGGGGGGTGGATAGGGGGGTGGTGGGTGGAGGATGGTGGGGTGGGGGGATGGGGGGTGGGGGGTGGGTGGATGGGGGGTGGGTGGTGGGGGGGGGTGGATGTTGGGGGGGGTGGGGGGTGGGTGGGGGGTGGATGGTGGGGGGGGTGGATGGTGGGGGGGTGGGGGTTGGGTGGTGGGGGGGGTGGATGGTGGTGGGGGGGTGGATAGGGGGGTGGAGGATGGTGGAGTGGGTGGATGGGCGGTGGGGGGTGGGTGGATGGGGGGTGGGGGGTGGGTGGATGGGGGGTGGGGGGTGGGTGGATGGGGGGTGGGGGGGGTGGATGTTGATGAGGGGTGGAGGATGGGGGGGGGTGGATGATAGGGGTGGTGGTGGTGGGGGTGGGGGGTGGGTGGATGGTGGGTGGGGGTGGATGATGGGTGGAGTGGTGGTGGTGGGGGGTGGGGCCAAGCAACCTCGCCCGGCCGCCTTTGTCTCCCCGGTGGTAACTCGGTCGAGGCCTCGTCGACCCGGGGACCACGAACAGCGGCCACCGAGAGACAGAGAGAGGGGAGAGAGGGAGAGAGAGGGGGGGCGCCACGGGGCTGGGCCAACGTGGCACTGACAAAGGTGTCCCATGTAAGCTCCGTGCAGAGCGTCGGGCAAGTGCGGCGTTGGTGGCGGGGTGGGGAGGGGAGCAGCCGAAATAACCTGCCGCGAAGGGTGACCCGACCGCCTTTGTCTCCCCAGTGAGGGTGTTTACTCACACATCGCTCCAGGGACTCAGTTGAGGCTGAGTCGACCCTATAGCGGTGAGGCCCCCAGGACCGGTTCGGATAATCGCCACTGGTGTTGTTGGTGGTGGTGGCGGCGGCGGTCGTGTGCCAGGCTAGGTGCACTGTGAGGCCACGTGAAGTGTCGAAGGCCCGCTGATAGGAGGTCACGGGGGCAAGACCCAGGTGCCATGCGTCGACCGACTGAGATGGCTGGACGAGGCACCACCTGTGCCCCCTACTGTGCCAACCTGCTGTGCTTTAGCCACCCGGCGCTCCGCTCGTTGTTGTGAGCGTCGCTCCTCCGCCCTCCGTTGTTGTTGGAGGGCGACTGCCTCCAACTGCCCAGCAGCGTCCTTCACGAGCCTCCTCCACAGAGGCTGATCTTGACACCGCTGGTACCAGTCATCGGCAAGTCCACTCAGCTCCACGTCCTCCTGTACCACATCACTCCATCTCTTCTCCAGCCCGTGCAGCGCCCGCTTAGCCCCCTCGATCCGGCCGAACAAAAGCTGTTTCGGCATGCGGTGGCTGGGCATGCGGGCTACATGACCCAGCCAACGTCGCCTCGCTCGCCGGAGGAGATCACTGACGGGGGGCTGTGCCCAGATCTTTCAAGGATCTGTGACCAGGTCAACGAAGCAGAGATGTAATGTCCTGTTGGAATCCCCTACACCTCTGCTGTAGCAGACGGACAGAGCAAAAATGGCCTCCATGAACACTGGCGGAGCCAGGATTTTCAGGTGGGGGGTGGGGGGCAATCCCTCCTGCAATGAAAAATGATAGAGGAGTTGTTAGTGAGTAAGGAGTTGTTAGTAAGGAGTTGTTAGTGAGTAAGGAGGTGTTAGTGAGTAAGGAGTTGTTAGTAAGGAGTTGTTAGTGAGTAAGGAGTTGTTAGTGAGTAAGGAGTTGTTAGTGAGGAGTTGTTAGTGAGTAAGGAGTTGTTAGTGAGTAAGGAGTTGTTAGTAAGGAGTTGTTAGTGAGTAAGGAGTTGTTAGTGAGTAAGGAGTTGTTAGTAAGGAGTTGTTAGTGAGTAAGGACTCGTTAGTGAGTAAGGAGTTGTTAGTGAGGAGTTGTTAGTAAGTAAGGAGTTGTTAGTGAGTAAGGAGTTGTTAGTAAGGAATTGTTAGTGAGTAAGGACTTGTTAGTGAGTAAGGAGTTGTTAGTGAGTAAGGAGTTGTTAGTAAGGAGTTGTTAGTGAGGAGTTGTTAGTGATGAGTTAGTAAGTAAGGAGTTGTTAGTGAGTAAGGAGTTGTTAGTAAGGAGTTGTTAGTAAGGAGTTGTTAGCAAGTAAGGAGTTGTCAGTAAGGAGTCGTTAGTAAGTAAGGAGTTGTTAGTGAGTAAGGAGTTGTTAGTAAGGAGTTGTTAGTGAGTAAGGACTTGTTAGTGAGTAAGGAGTTGTTAGTGAGTAAGGAGTTGTTAGTAAGGAGTTGTTAGTGAGGAGTTGTTAGTGATGAGTTAGTAAGTAAGGAGTTGTTAGTGAGTAAGGAGTTGTTAGTAAGGAGTTGTTAGTGAGGAGTTGTTAGCAAGTAAGGAGTTGTCAGTAAGGAGTTGTTGGTGAGTAAGGAGTTGTTAGTGAGTAAGGAGTTGCTAGTAAGGAGTTGTTAGTGAGTAAGGACTTGTTAGTGAGCAAGGAGTTGTTAGTACGCAAGGAGTTGTTCGTGAGGAGTTGTTGGTAAGTAAGGAGTTGTTAGTAAGGAGTTGCTAGTAAGTAAGGAGTTGTTAGTGAGTAAGGAGTTGTTAGTAAGGAGTTGTTAGTAAGTAAGGACGTGTTAGTGAGTAAGCAGTTGTTAGTAAGTAAGGAGTTGTTAGTGAGGAGTTGTTAGTAAGCAAGGAGTTGTTAGCAAGGAGTTGTTGGTGAGTAAGGAGTTGTTAGTAAGGAGTTGTTAGTGAGTAAGGAGTTGTTAGTAAGGAGTTGTTAGTGAGTAAGGAGTTGTTAGTAAGGTGTTGTTAGTGAGTAAGGAGTTGTTAGCGAGTAAGGAGTTGCTATTAAGGAGTTGTTAGTGAGGAGTTGTTAGTGAGTAAGGAGTTGTTAGTAAGTAGCTTTTAGTGAGTAAGGAGTTGTTAGTAAGGAGTTGTTAGTGAGTAAGGAGTTGTTAGTAAGGAGTTGTTAGTGAGTAAGGAGTTGTTAGTAAGGTGTTGTTAGTGAGTAAGGAGTTGTTAGCGAGTAAGGAGTTGCTATTAAGGAGTTGTTAGTGAGGAGTTGTTAGTGAGCATTTGTTAGTAAGGAGTTGTAAGTAAGGAGTTGTTAGCGAGTAAGGAGTTGTTGGTGAGGAGTTCTTAGTGAGGAGTTGTTAGTGAGTAAGGAGTTGTTAGTAAGTAAGGAGTTGTTAGTAAGGAGTTGTTGGTAAGGAGTTGTTAGTAAGTAAGGAGTTGTTAGTAAGTAAGGAGTTCTTAGTAAGTAAGGACTTGTTAGTGAGTAAGGACTTGTTAGTGAGTAAGGAGTTGTTAGTGAGTAAGGAGTTGTTAGTATGTAAGGGTTTGTTAGTACGTAAGGAGTTGTTACTGAGGAGTTGTTAGTAAGTAAGGAGTTGTTAGTAAGTAAGGAGTTGTTAGTGAGTAAGGGGTTGTTAGTAAGTAAGGAGTTGTTAGTAAGGAGTTGTTAGTGAGTAAGGAGTTGTTAGTGAGTAAGGAGTTGTTAGTAAGGAGTTGTTAGTGAGTAAGGACTTGTTAGTGAGTAAGGAGTTGTTAGTGAGTAAGGAGTTGTTAGTAAGTAAGGAGTTGTTAGTGAGTAAGGAGTTGTTAGTAAGGAATTGTTAGTGAGTAAGGACTTGTTAGTGAGTAAGGAGTTGTTAGTGAGTAAGGAGTTGTTAGTAAGGAGTTGTTAGTGAGGAGTTGTTAGTGATGAGTTAGTAAGTAAGGAGTTGTTAGTGAGTAAGGAGTTGTTAGTAAGGAGTTGTTAGTAAGGAGTTGTTAGCAAGTAAGGAGTTGTCAGTAAGGAGTCGTTAGTAAGTAAGGAGTTGTTAGTGAGTAAGGAGTTGTTAGTAAGGAGTTGTTAGTGAGTAAGGACTTGTTAGTGAGTAAGGAGTTGTTAGTGAGTAAGGAGTTGTTAGTAAGGAGTTGTTAGTGAGGAGTTGTTAGTGATGAGTTAGTAAGTAAGGAGTTGTTAGTGAGTAAGGAGTTGTTAGTAAGGAGTTGTTAGTGAGGAGTTGTTAGCAAGTAAGGAGTTGTCAGTAAGGAGTTGTTGGTGAGTAAGGAGTTGTTAGTGAGTAAGGAGTTGCTAGTAAGGAGTTGTTAGTGAGTAAGGACTTGTTAGTGAGCAAGGAGTTGTTAGTACACAAGGAGTTGTTCGTGAGGAGTTGTTGGTAAGTAAGGAGTTGTTAGTAAGGAGTTGCTAGTAAGTAAGGAGTTGTTAGTGAGTAAGGAGTTGTTAGTAAGGAGTTGTTAGTAAGTAAGGACGTGTTAGTGAGTAAGCAGTTGTTAGTAAGTAAGGAGTTGTTAGTGAGGAGTTGTTAGTAAGCAAGGAGTTGTTAGCAAGGAGTTGTTGGTGAGTAAGGAGTTGTTAGTAAGGAGTTGTTAGTGAGTAAGGAGTTGTTAGTAAGGAGTTGTTAGTGAGTAAGGAGTTGTTAGTAAGGTGTTGTTAGTGAGTAAGGAGTTGTTAGCGAGTAAGGAGTTGCTATTAAGGAGTTGTTAGTGAGGAGTTGTTAGTGAGTAAGGAGTTGTTAGTAAGTAGCTTTTAGTGAGTAAGGAGTTGTTAGTGAGCATTTGTTAGTAAGGAGTTGTAAGTAAGGAGTTGTTAGCGAGTAAGGAGTTGTTGGTGAGGAGTTCTTAGTGAGGAGTTGTTAGTGAGTAAGGAGTTGTTAGTAAGTAAGGAGTTGTTAGTAAGGAGTTGTTGGTAAGGAGTTGTTAGTAAGTAAGGAGTTGTTAGTAAGTAAGGAGTTCTTAGTAAGTAAGGACTTGTTAGTGAGTAAGGACTTGTTAGTGAGTAAGGAGTTGTTAGTGAGTAAGGAGTTGTTAGTGAGTAAGGAGTTGTTAGTACGTAAGGAGTTGTTACTGAGGAGTTGTTAGTAAGTAAGGAGTTGTTAGTAAGTAAGGAGTTGTTAGTGAGTAAGGGGTTGTTAGTAAGTAAGGAGTTGTTAGTGAAGAGTTGTTAGTAAGTAAGGAGTTGTTAGTGAGTAAGGAGTTGTCAGCAAGGAGCTGTTAGTAAGTAAGGAGTTGTTAATAAGTAAGGACTTGTTAGTGAGTAAGGACTTGTTAGTAAGT